CCCCCCGGCATCTGCAGTGCTGTGGGTGCGGGACCAAACCCTGTGGCTGCAGCTGCACAGGAGGCAACTCAGGGGCAACTGCGTCACATCAGCAGAGTTATAGCACAACCACCCATCACCCTGGGAGTCATCACTGCGGCTTCTGTGTGTCGCCTGCAGTACAAAATGGGAAGAAATGCGTTTCTTCAGCCCTGTTTTTCCCTCCTGCAGCCCTCCAGGCTCAGGTCCTGCAGCCCTGGGGAGGAACGAGGCTGGGTTGGGGTATGGCACCTGGTCTGAGTGGGGTACGTCCATCTTGTCCATCTTCCTTTGCTGTGGCCTGAGCCCTCACTTGCTGCTCACATCAGAGGGGATTTCTCATTAATTGCAACCAATTTCATGTGCTCTGAGGGATGCAGTCTGCCATACAGCTTCTGGCAATGAGTCACACTTATTCTATCCATGATCTGAAGAGTTTCCATTGACACCACTTTTGGGGGATGGCCATGATTCTTCATTGTTAAGACCCAGGGCATCACAGGAGATGGCATCTACTGAGGAGGCCAATCTGCAGAAGAGAATGGGAACCGGAAGGACACTATAGATCTGTGGGACACCACGGTGGCATTTCTGACCCAAGATTTGTCTAAACTATTTCTTTTTTTAAAAAAAGTTGAATTATAAATGAAAAAAAGCCCTCTGCTAGCTAGGTGCAAGGCAGTTTGGACAAGGGTTATTCCTTTCCTACTGAAAACAGAAAAGTCTGCGGTTGGGTTTTGTTCAGTTTCTGAGCAAACATACACCAACCTCAGACTCTTTCTGGTTTTCTTTGCACAGCAGAGGTATCACTGTACTATCAGTTTCTAGTGCATCGCACACGTCTTCCCAAAAGCTGAAGGAATTGTAGCTGGGGAAGGACAGCACTGGACCATCTCAGCACCTGCAGAGCACCAGCATGGGGATGCAGGGAGACCTCAGTTTGTGTGTGGGGAGTGCAGCTTTTTAAAGCATTTGCCCGTGGGACCTTTGCGAGCTGTTGAACCTCTGCAGCAATAGGTTGGCAGCTAAGTAAGGGTGAAAAATGCCTTTTCCTGGCCATTGAGACCCATGCCCCAGCCCAGTTGGGAAGCCTGGACAGACGATGCTCCTGACTCTGCTCCACCACCAGCAGCGTGGCAGGGATGAGCCTGGGGAGCCAAGGGAGGAGCTGAGCCATGGCTGATGCTGGGGGACCAGCATGGGCAAGAAGGGTGGAGGTGGAGGATTCACTGCTGGGCCCTGGGGCGAGGTTGAGGGGTGCCTTAATTACAGCACAGTTGTGGAAACTGGAAGCTCTTCACTGCCCTGTAGCCAAAGAAACATGCTCTGCATTGGGATGAGACACAGGACACTGTTCCCAAGGGAAAAAAAAACCCCTGCTGATACTGGTCTAGCTCCTTAGTGGGTATAAATGGGTGTCTTCTGCTGATCTGCATCAGTTGAAGATCTGGCCTCCCTGAGCTCCTTGGGAAGATGCAGGTCTGTGAAGCAGCTGAAAAGCAACCCCTGGGCAAAGCAGGTACCTGGAGAGAAGTGTGGTTTTACACTAGAGCCTTGTCTGCATGCAGCAGAGTCCTGTGGCACAACTCCCTCAGCCAAGAGCACATAGTTTTCCTCTTGTGGTTGTAGATCTGGGACAGCAGATAATGACAGCCTGGTGCATAGAGTGGATCTGGATAAATGTCAGACTGGTTCCCCTGAGCGTCCCTTCCCCACACGGACTCATGCCCCTGCTTAATCTCATCACCTTCAGCTTTGTGGACCTGCAGTTTGGTCTGTGCTTCAGTGATGAGCTCAGGGTGGCCAAAATAGCTTTTGTAAAGGGAAGTCCGGTCTCACAAAGCGACTGGTGTTCACCAAAGGCATCTATGAGCTTGTGGATAAGGGCAACCTGGTAGATGAGAGTTTTTCTGGATTTCCAGAAGCAAAGACCTTTAGGTCAGCCACTGCTAAGAGTGAAAGTCCAAGTAGAGGTAACTAATCACTTAGCAAATAGGAAGTGATGGTGAGATAACAAACTCTGCTGATAATTCTTGCATATAGCAAGAGATGCAGCATAGCAGAGATGAAGACTGATGACGCAGATGTTCAGAAAGATCTTGCAGGACTTGGGGTTTGGGGATAAAATGGCAAGGGATATTTGGAGGAGTATAAAGTGACACACAGAGGGAAAAATCCAACATGACTTCATATATAAGATGATGGGCTCTGGGCTGGCTGTTGCCTGCTTGGGAGTGACAGTTTGGGATTATGGTAAACATGAAAAAACATGAGGAACATCAGGGAAAACATGAGCTAAGTGCTCTGTGGCAGCAAAAATCTCAAACCATGAGAGAGCAACGTGCTGCCAAACAGCTCAGCAGGACTTTATCCAAATTAAAGGAGAGGAGGGAGCTTTTCCAGCAGTGGGGAATAGACCTGGGGAATTCCTTGCTGAAAGGTGTTTTTTAAACTAACAATTTTCCTGAGTTTGAGAGAAACTGGACAAATACATGGAGGAGAAACCCACTGAGGGGTCTCAAATAAAGAGGAAACCATGTTCAGCTCAAAAGGTCTCTGAGCTGAAAATAAAGACCAGGGGAGTGTGAGGGGCAAGTGTCACTGAGGCTCATCCTCTGCCTAATCCCCAGCTGCTAAATGCCTGTCTAGAATTTCTTCATCTTAATAATAAGAGGAATCACAAACTGTGAGGTTTTATATTCCTTTGCTGTGTAGATCGTAGCTGGGGGTGTTCTTTCACTAGGTTCAGTGTAATCCTTTTTAAAATCCCGTTAAATCCTATGCTTCAGTGATATCCTTTGGCAATGAGTTTTGCAAGTAAAGTGCTCACAGTGCATTAATCAGAAAGGTTTATTGCTTTGTAGTAGCTTGGTGATGCTGAACTACTATATATAGTTTGTCAGCAATTAGCGGGATGCTTGCAAGGTTATTTAAGTACTTTTTTTTCCTTATGCCACAACTTGCTGAATTTTCTGTGTGTATGAAAACACTTGAAAGACAACTGGTGACTGCAAGAAGAAAGAAAACCAGAGAATGAGCCCTGCTTGGAGCAGATGGCTCATTTGACAGGGCTATCTTTTAGAAATGGGTTTTTAATCAGGAACCTTTGATTAACATAATTCCTTTGATTGCTCAGGTCCCGGGCACACCCCTGTGGGCTGGAGGCATGTGTGGCAAGCCTAGCCTTATAACCAGTCCCTCAGGCTGGCGGAGAGATGGATCTCACAGGGATCAGAGACTGAATTTGTACTCGAGGGGTCCTGGATGACTTTTTCTGCAGGCACCCACCATGATAACTGCCCAGCTGCCCCCAACAGTGAAAGCACTGGGGTCCTGGCCACACTGTGCACCTGGGCTGGCCCCAGGTAAAAACCAGGCTTGGACCAGGCTCTGCTGTGTCTGGGTGCCCCTGTCACCCCAGTAAGACAGTGCCCCTGTTGTCTTCACATCTGCCCTTTGAAGGAGAATGTTGCCCCGTGTGAGCATGGGGGGACAAGGTCTTGGGACCAGCCCGGGGCAGGGGGACAATAGGTTTGATGGATTTGATCCAGACATGGGATGAGGCTGGGCACACAGCTCCCCTCTGGCACAGGGCTTCAGCACCCAAAAATTGGATACCCCCCATGCTTCAGCCACTTCCTCTGAGACTTCATGAGTTCTCGGAGGAACTGCAGCAAAGCTCATAATGAGTGGGAGGCCATGACGGCTCAATCCAAGATGTCCAGAAAAGGCTGAAAGTAGCAGTGCACCCTCCCATGCTCTTTGGAAAGGGCTGGACTGCACCCAGATGGAGGTGTTTTAATGACTGTTTTGGATCCCTGGGAGCCAGCCTCCTCCCACTCAGCCCAAGGTAATTCACCTCCTCCACTGGTGTTGGAGGAGTTGTTGACTGGTGGAGAGCGGCTGGTAAAACAGGTTCTCTGCAGGGAGTTGTCTCCAAAATCCTGGGAGACCTGGATGGATCGAGCCCTGAGCGTGGGTCTCTGCTCGAACCCTGGCATAGCAGGCAGCGAGGAGTGATTTGCTCTTGCGTGGCACTCCTGGGCAGGGCGTCTTTTGCACGGCGCCGCTAGTAGAAAAATTACAGCCTTGCCTCTGTCAAGGTAGATAAGAAACCATGTGATGCAGCGTGGTGGTAAATGGGTTGCAGGCAGGGTAAAGGTGCACAGGGAAATAACCTTGCAGGGAGTTCCTCCCTCCGCAGGGAGCAGAGTCTTCGGGCAGCGCAGATCCCCGCAGGTCTGACAGCACCTTGGCCTTGATGCCTGCACAAGTTTTAGGGGCTCTCTGAATCTCACAGGAAGCAGGAATGTCTTTTAGTAGAAGGAACTGGTCTGATCTCTCCAGGTAGGTGCTGTGGTTTAATGCTTAACCCTTTCCACCAGTGGGAGGGAGCGGGTGAGGGTGGGCTGCTGGCACGGCAAGCCTTGGCCAAGGGGTGTTGGGGAGGATGGGAAGAGGGGGCAGCTGCCATGGGGGTTTTTGCTTTCAGAGGTGGTGCCAGCCCTGTTGAGAGCTCAGCGCTACTGGAGTTTCTTGTGGGTGGGCAAGATCAGAGACATTTTTGTTTCTGCTGCCTGGGGAAGCGGAGTGCTGCATAGGAAAATGGATCTGGAAATGCATCCTTGCCCTGTGTTGGATATATTTTTGGTCTGGTTTGCCTTTCTTTGGGGTACAGTCTGGCTGGGCTGTGCCTCCAGACTTGCTCTAGAGCCGGCTGTGGGTTTTTTCCCTTGCCCCATATCCATACAGCCCCTGGGTGTGTGTGCCGGCTCTGCTGTGTGGAGGTTGCAGCCTCTGCCCATCCGGCGCTGAGCAAGAACTGATTCATCGGCCGTCGCTGAACGATCCCTGCAGCCCCGTGGTGTTGGCTGCTCCACTCGGTCTTTACTAAAAAGTGGTTTTTGGCTCTGATGGGAGCTGGGACAGGTGAGGCTCCTGGACATCACGGTGGGGGGGCAGGGTGTGTGTGAGTCAGGGGCTTACAAGAAGCCTGGGTGACGTGGGAATAGCTCTGGACCTCCTTCAGACCCCGGGGCAAGCACTGCCAACCTCGGCTGCACAGGCAGGGTAATGGTGACTCAAAAGCAGCTACACTCTTCCACAAAATGGAGCAGAAATCCTAGTTTAAGGGGATGTGATGGCTCTGAGACTTAATTGCAAACACCAGCACTTCAAGTAAGACACCCACCATGGCCACCCAGAAAAGGGAATTGAGACCCCATTGCTCGGAGGCTGCCAGCTCAAACCCTGCCTCCGTTATGGATGGGACGGATCCAGAGGGCATCCCAGCCCCATCCAGTTCCACCTCCTCTGAGCCATGGACCTGCCCAAAGGTGAGCCCAGTGGGGTCCTGCACCCAGGTTGTTTCACAACCCAGGAAGGCAGTTTCTGCTCTCTCATTAGATGAGACAGCATTCACTGAAACAGCACAAATGTCAGATATCTCAGCACTAATGATTAACAGGGCAGGAGAGGACAAGGCAGGGGGAGACTTGCCAATCTTTTTTTATTCATCTCTTTGAGATTAAAAAAGTTAAAATGGTGAAAAATAGATCCCTCTTTGAAAAGAGGAGGGAAGGATTGGCAAAGCAAATCCATAGCTTAATGGGTAGATTTCTTAATTACAAATAACGAGAAACTGCATGTTGATAATGCCAGGTTATGTGCTGCCTCTGAAGGAGCCAAGCAAATGCAAGGCAGGAAAATCTCATTTTCATTTCAAAGGAGCCTGTGCATGCAAAAACAAAGAAGTAACTGGCTCTCGTGGATTTAAACCAGCGTTAGTGTTCCACGCTGTCACTGCTTGAGGGACAACAATGCTTAGCAGAGGCACGTCCATACACACGTGTTAACCTTGCCGGGTGGGAATGTGTATGTGCAATGATTGCTGCACCAGGATATCACACCGTGCTGTGCAAATAAAGCCATGCTGCCTTCCCAGTGCAGCTAAGCTGTGTACAAATATTTACAGGGTCAGGCCCATGGAGGCTAGCACAGCTGCAAGGAGCTGAACGTGGGGTGTCCCCCAGCGGGGTGAGAGCCAGCTGGGGATGCTTGCGGGCTCCCTGGGGCAGGTCCCAGCCTTCTCCATCCCCATCTCTCCCAATGCCAAGCATGGCATCGGGGACCACCTGGAGCTCCCCAGCAATGGGTCGGATTGCTGCTGGGGTGTGAAGGCTGCTTGGGGGTGCAAGGGGCGATGGGGATGGAGGCAGTGGGAGGGAAGAGCAGCACACCCTCTGGCATTGCCCTGTCCCCAAACAGGCACTGAGCTCTCAGCCAGGACCCGTCCCCCCTTTGCTCTCCGTTCTGCTCTGCTGACCCTTTCACGCTCCCCCGCCTCCCTTGACCAGGAAGAACAGAAGCCACAAATAGTTGCGGGGGGTAATGTGGTTTAATTTATGACCCAGCTTTCATTACACAGTAACTCGTGAACCACGCTGCAAGTCACCATGTCCACAACAGCATTAACGATACCACAGGCCTGGACCTGCTCTGACTTTCACATTCTTAAAAGTCAAATTCGAAGTAAACCCTGAGAATGGATGAAACTGGAGTGCCAGCTACAGAGCTGGGATGCTGCAATGGGATGGATCCTGTTCAGGGAGGGCTCTGCCCTGTCAGGCTCTTGGGGGTGGTGGGAGCTCCACTGGGACCCTTGCATGTGTCTGCAGCTGATTGAGGACTAGTGCTGTAGGTAAATGAACACTGTTGTGAAAAGCTCAATCCAGCCAATAAAAATATTTTCCAACACAGTTCATGCACTGGCAGAGAGGGTGGGCAGGTTTTGCACAGAGAAAGGAAGGGAAAGCTGGTGTTTTCCAAAGAACTTTTTATTCAGCATGGCATTTTATCCAAAAAATTTATACACTTGGCTTGTGCAAAATAAAATCTTTAAAGGTGACTCTTTAAAGATGATTACAAACCTTGCCTTTTTGGTACAATCTGTGATTATAAACAATTCCCAGTCCCAGCCACATGCAGGGAGTAAGAGGAGCTCCTGCTGTCCCTGTTTCCAGGCAGACCTTGTCAGCAGTTGCCTTCAGCCTCTGATGCTTCTGCATCTGATGCTTTTTGCTTAATAAAAATTAAAATGCCATTGCCACAACTCACATTGGGGCTAAAATCTTCTGCCACTAGTGGCTACCCTTCCAGTTTATGTGGTTGAGATCTATGTGGTGGCTCTAAGGTCCTGGTCTTGCTGAGTTACAGGTTAAATATCCTTTCCCTGGAAGGTTTGCTTAATGTAGGGATTCCTTTTAAATGAGTGCTCCCTCCAGTAGAAGAAATTAGGAGTTGTGAAGTCAAGTGCTTGTGTTGGGAAATGCCTGCATCAGCTGGGTGGAGTGAGAGTGCTTTGCGACACCTGGCTCGTGTTGGCATCCCTCTCCTCCAGCCCTGTGCAGCAGCTGGGGAAGGCAACCTCCATCAGCCCCTTGGCTGTTGCCCAAGGGTATTTCAATCTCCTTTCTTGTCTGGCATCAGAGCTGCAAGCTCCCCATGCAGGACAGCCTCACCATGTCCTTATGTTTCATCCCAAACAGCTTGGCCAGGCAGAGGACCCTTGAGGATGAAGAAGAGCAGCAAAGAGAGCGCCGGCGAAGGCACCGGAACATGCTGTCCTCCACATCGACAGATGAAGAACCTCCTAGCCCTGTGAAACACACCAGTCCAGCTTCCAGCAGGTGTGGGGGTCCTGCTAGCATCAGTCTTACCCATGATGCTGACGGCTCGCAGCTTGCTGCCTTGTTTTTCTCAACCCTGAGCCAAAGCTGGTGCAGTTGGTGGGATTCTCTTCTGGATGAGAGTGGGCTGAGCTGTGGGAAAAGCAGGGGTCCAATGGGCCTTTAGGCAGAAGGTTGGGCTTCACACGAGGAATACAAGAAGAGGGGTATATTTATGGTGGGCTCAGTCATGGGCCTCAACATGTCCCACAGCACAGGGAGCTGGTGTGCCAGGGTGAGGGTTGGTGCTGAGGTTGAGATCAGATGGGTGCTGGCCATGCCCCAGTGGCATCCTGAGCAGGTAAGAACAGACAGGCACCCATCTCTGCAGGACAGGTGAGCCAAGCATGCAGACCCTGGCTGGTTGTCCTCCTCTTCCTCTGAACCTTGCAGTGATGTTGTATGACCTTTGCTGAAGTGGGGAGGTGACCCAAGGGCTTTCCAGTGGTGCTCCCAAAGGCCCTTGCTGCAGGGAGCTGAGATTTGGAGGTGCCCTGAGATCAGGCTGCCCCTACACAACCTGACCCACTCTCTAAATTGATCCTGGAAATGTCCAATATTTAGATGGGTTTTGTCCACAGTGAGACTCATGCTCTAGAAGTGTTTCTCTCTGTGTTTCAGACAGGGTGGAGTTAGGATGCTTGGGTACGATATGGGTTGAATTGGGGCTGGATATAACTAATGTGAACAAGCTAGACAGGACAAGTCCCCCTTCCCTGGTGCTAGCAGAGGCTGGCCATATGGTGAACGCAATTCAGAAGGAGGGCAAATATGCCATCTCCTTCCCAAGTCCTGGCAACTGTGTAGATACAGTCTGCATGGCCCTGGACAAATGTCCTATCTGCCCCTTCCCGAATCTGGTTCCTGTGTTTGCCTATGGGAATGAGGGGAAATTACTGTTTTGCAGAATGTATTGGGACTGTGGCTGAACCCTGCCATAGCAGATTGACTTACAACCAACACTTTAAACTTAAAGATAGTGGTATTTTTTCCTAGTCCAGTGAAGAGACACAGACACATGTCCCATCCAGCAGCAGAACCAGCACACTGCTCTGAGCCCACAGCTCCTTGACACAGCACTTCGTGGATGCTGATGTCCTGGGATGAGGCTGCAGAAATGCTTAATCTCTGCTACAAAAAGGAAAAAAAGACTTTTAATCCAAACTTGTCCTCAGAGAGCCTAGCTGGGGTGACGGGGATGAGTGTGGCTGCAAGGCCTGTTTTGCAGGGGTGCCTCCAGGATGTTGGTGGGATTTTTACATTCCCCCCCAGAGCCTTTCACCTGGGTTAACCTTACCTGCAGCACAAAAGCCAGTCCTCTGGCCCCAGAGTGCTGAGGTTTGCCCTCCATTTTGTCTCTGTCTCTAGACCTCAATCCCTGGTGAAGCCAGTGTCTCCGGAGGATGAGGAAGAGCATAAGCTCTCAGAGGTGCTGAAGACACAAGAAGGGAGACGGACAAAGTCCCTGATGACTGTCTCTGAAAAGCTGAGGCAGGAGAAGGAGCAGCAGGAGCCAGAGGTGGGAGTGAGCTGTGCAGAGGCAGGGACACAGCTGCGCGTGGGGCAGGAGAGCATCAAGGCTGGAGAGCGGGGTCAGGATGCGGCCAAGGGCAGAGGGGACTTGCCAGGAGACCAGCACCCAGAGCCAGCCTCGGAGACGAAGGTGGTGATGAGGGGACGGCTCCAGGACAAAGAGAGGCAAGGTGTGGGGACTCCTCAAGGAGAGCAGAGGAAGGAGGTGGGGGAGCTGCAGCAGCAGGCATCACTAGAGCTGGGGCGCTGCCGGCTCCGCGAAGTGAAGATCCTTACCAGACAGGGAAGCTGCAGCACAGAGAAGACAGCCTTGGTGGTGACCTCATCTCTGGACCAGCAGGTGAGCAGGAATGGACAAGGCACCAGTCCTTGGGGTGTGAGGTCCTGGGTGCTGGGAGGACAACAGAGGGAGAGAGAGCTCCAAAGTACCAGGAGGGAAATGGGACCCGTGGGCTTTTGGGGAAGGTTTTTCTGAGAGCTACAAACCATGTGGTGGTGGACAGGGTCCCACTACCTCTTTTCCCTCCCTTGCATGTACTGTTCTGATCACCTTCTCCGGCAAGCCCCTACTGATTGTCATCATGGTTTCACTGAAGAGGCGTTTGGGGCTTTGCGTATCCAAGTGAGACAGCCAAGGTTTGGGGGATTTTGATCTCAAACTCCTGCCTCCAAACCAGTTCCCACCCTGGCTGCTCTGCTCCCTGCACTTCAGCCTTCTCTGCAGACTCTGCAGGGATGCATCAGATGTCTGCTTTTTCCTCAGCAACCATCCAGGAATCCCTCAAAGCAGGTAATACAGCTGTCTCCCACCCAAGATGAACCTGCAGAAAAGTCAGATACTTCTCCAACTCATGTCACCTACAGCAGCTCCATCAGACGAACCAGCCCAAGAACTGTTTCCTTTCGGGTAAGAGCTAAAGCAAGTGGGAGAAAGACTCCCATATAGGCAGTGGAGGATGGGGGGAAGGAAGGGTTGCTTTGGTCTCCAGGTTATGTTGGCAGAGTCAGCTCCCAAAAGTGCATTCAAAATCCACCCTTGATCTGGGCATTTCAATTCTGCTTTAGCCTTTCCTCCATTTTCCTTCTCTGTGTCTGACTGAAGGCCTGTGATGATGAACATGCCCATGTTCGTACGCTTTGTGCTAGCATGGAAACTTGTGGGAAGTGATGAGAAAACAGGGAGCTCATTGTCCTCAGATTTTCCAAAGAGTCACAGGAGTGACCATCCAACCTCTGGCTCTTCTAGTCTTCTCTGAGAGCACAGGATAAAAATAAAACCCATCCTCTTTCTCATCTCTTGTTACCTCCCTCAGAATATCTTCAATTCTAGCTCCTGCAAAAGATCTCTGGAATAAAGTGCTTGGAGAGGCTGGGAAAACCAAGAGCTGTTGAGATCCTCCCTGCTGTGAATCAGGGCTGACTGGCTAGGCTTAATTGACTTTCATGGTGCTTTATTGGGAATAAAACTGTTAGCACTACAAAGTGTCTTTAGTCTGGAGAGCTTTGAGATATGAGATAAGCTCTGGCGTGGGTGAAAATGGAGCTTGCTTGAAAATGGGGGAGATGAGTCTGAGACAGTTTCTCCCATGATTATCTTTGATAACCAAAGATGGCTCCAGTATCTCCTCTCCTTGTGTCTTCCAGGTGATCTCAAGAAAGCAGAAAGAAGAAAGCCAAAGCCCTCTCACAAGGAGGTCAGCACCTCTCTTCACATTACTTTGGTCTTGCTGGGAAGGAATTGTCATCTTTTGTTTTCCAAGGGAGGAGGAGGAGGTGATGGGACCTGGTACCAGCTAGTGAGTGCCCTGGCACAGGTCTGCTGAACATTGGTCCCCAGGGTGCCTGGCTGACCGGGCAGTGATGCTTAGCAGGGGACAGGACAATGTTCAACATATAGCTTCCATCTGTACAAGATCCCCCCAGCTCTAGCCCCTGCTGTCTCTTGGTTGATGCAGTTTCTCATTGCCGCTTGTGTCTGCACAGGAGTGGTTAAGTGGTGCAGCACCACAACAGGGTCCCATCCTTGGAGATACCAAAACCCACTATACAGGTCCATAAGCAACCTGATCTGGCTTTGGTGGCCAGATCAAGTGATCCTCCACATCTCCATGGCAAGGTTGGGACAGGTGGCTTAAAAACTCTTGAGGAACCAAGGGCTCAGGTCTGAATGCAGGGAGTCAATAGCCTGCCCTCTCCCACATCTGAATGCAGGGCAGAGGACTGGGGCTTTACGGGCACGTAGGCTTGCTCCTAGGCATACTATAGGCAAACTCATACTGATATCAGTGAAGATGCAGTTCAGACCTGGCAGTGGTGAAGGCGGGGTAAACTGAGAAGCTCAGAGCTATTTTTCAGTGTACAGTGTGGCCCTAGTAAGATAGTGAGACCCAGAGATCTCAATCACCAGCAGGGAATGAGCTGCCTTGGTTCACTTGGCAGATGGATGCAGGAGGAGTGCCTGGGTTGGACAGGGTCTTCTCCCGCCAAGTGAAGTCCTCCAGGACCATGGGCTGAGTGTTCAACCCTCCCTTTTTCTTCATCAGTGCAAGTCTGAGGATCCCAGGTAGCAGCACCACCATTGGGGAGAAGCTGGAAAAATACACCTCAGCTGTGCAGGTACCGAAAACCCTTGGCAGAGCTGGACTGGCATGGGAGGCATGTGTGGGGAGAAAGAGAGGGGTGGCCTGGAGCTGAGTGGGGAAGGGAGAAAGGGACTGAGCTGCACTGAACAACCAATGCTAATGGGGTTGAAGAAGATGGTCCCAGGCAGAAAAAGGGGTTGGTCTCAGGGTTTTAGGAGCAGGGAGGGGTTATCCCTTGAAGATGGTCATGGGGATGCTGCACAGTCCTGCTGGGGGGAGCAGCGGGGCAAGCCCATGAGCTGGTGATAGGCAGGGAAGGAGCAGACCCCAATGGGCTTGGGACGCAGGCCAGAAGCAGGACTTTGCTTTTTACTGCTTGTGGTGCAGCATGGCCCCTGCTGATGCCCTTCTCTCCTCCCAGCGCTCGGAGGTGGTGAAATCGTCTCTGACTGTTCAGAAAAGCCTCTTGCTGTCCTCGGAGGGGGTGGCCAGCAAGCGCAACTTCTTCGAGGCAAGCGCTCCCAGTAAGGCTGAGCCGCTTGCTGTCAGGAAGGTAAGGGCAGGAGCTGGCCCGAGCGAGGACCTTCCAGTAGGGTCCTGTGCTGGGGCAGCCACCAACTTTTTGGACGAATCTTCCCCTCTTTGGATACCAACACACAGCCCAGCAGGCTGCTGCCTGGATGCAGTTTGGTGGGAGTTTGGTGCTTGCTGAGTGGTGCCAGGCAAGGCTGGGCTTGGGCACTGGCTGCCACCAAAACTGTGCTCTGGTGGTGTGTAGGTTAGTGCCAATGTGCTGGTATCTCAGGAGCTGGGAAAGAGCCAAGGTGTAGGTTGGTATCTGCCTGTTGCGGGTTTGCTCAGTCTCCCCATGCCCTGGGGACTGTCCTGAGTTACATTTGTGCAGTGGGAGAGCTGGTGCTGTAATGCTGGTGTCCCTCTCTGTGCCACAGGACAACCTGAAGGTCCCGGGATCAGTGACATCCCGCATTAATCTGTGGATCAGCAGAGCTCAGGAGCCTGCCAAAGAGGAAAAGAGCAAGGTACTGGCTTGCGCCAAGACCTCAGGGTAGAGCCCTGAGACCGGGCAGCCTGGTGAGACATGTCCCTGCATCTGGGGTGGTGGGGCTTGAAGGGTTGATGAACCCCTGGCTGAACCCATTAAAGGGTTTGAGAGGAGTTTAGCCAGGGTCAGAGATTTGGGTGCTGCAGGGCCACCACGGTGAGTCATCAGGGCTCTACTTGTTGCTGTGCCCTGATCCTGAACCCAAAGTGCCCGAAGCAGCTGATCCCAGCCCTTGGTGGGGTGAGGAGGGAGCAGGCATCAGCTGGGTGCATGTCCCAAGGCAAATGCAGGGGGACCTGACCTGCCCCCAGTGAGAGAGATCACCCCAACATGATCCCATCTCTACCAGTGTCTGGAGGACTAGCTCTGTCCTGGAGGCCACTGGGAGATGAGCCGTATGCTCAGTCCTTCAACACTGGGCTCTGTGGGACTTCGAGACCTGTGTGTGCACTGAGAGATCCTGCTGCATGTGGGGTCCAGAGTGATCTGCAACCCTCAGTGTATCCAAGCCCCCAAAAGTAGGGTGTCTTGTAGCTGTGGGTGCAAAGTGCCCAGATAAGGGGACTCAGAGGTCATTACTTTGTCACCGTGATTGCTCCAGGGGCATGTATGTGAGGGAGATGTACAAGAGACCCTTTGGCCTCAGGGTAGTTTACTGTACTTGGAAAGGGGAGGTTCAGCAGGTCCTGGGGAGGTATCACTGTTTACAGCAATGAGGTGTTTTTCCACTGCTCTTAGCAGAGTCTTCTGCAGCCGCCTGGGTACAGGACCAGGAGGGGCAGCTCCAGCCCAGCCCTGCAGGCTGGGCAGGCAAGCCCAGGCACCCCCAGTGCTGAGCTGCAGAGATTAGCACTGCCCAAACATGTCTGTACCGGGAGGGTGTGCTGGCTCTGTCTGCCAGGAAAAGGTTTGCTCCTGGGGTCACTCTTGGGTAAAGCTTGCAGCTCCTTTATCAGTTTTCCCTATAATGATGGCTGCTGCCATCCATCTCTGTGGGCTGGAGCTGCACTTGGTTTTGAGGGTCTGCCAGGTGCAGGATCTCAAAGCTGGCTGGTTTTACCAAGAGCATGTATGCTTCAAGGTTTCGTTCAAGTCAGACCAGGGCAACACTGCACATGATGCATGGGAAAAACCTTGTGCCACTTATGACTCTCCTGTTTGCAGGACATCAGGAAAATAAACAGCCTGCCAAACCGTGATGTCTGGGTAAAGCAGCCTGGAGACCACCCTGGAGACACCAAGGTAGACATGGAACTGCTTTGAAAATTAGTGCATTCTCTGAGCTAGCGTCAGAGTTGGGACCTGCCCACCGGTGCATCACCCACAGGGCAGGTGTGGGAGAACCAGGCTATGGCGGGGGAGAGGGGTTGTGTGGGACATCCAGGACCCCATGACTTAGGGGCGTCAGCAGGAGGGGACAACTGGAGGCAACTGTAAGGGTGAGAAGAGGTCTGGTCTGGAAGAGGAAGGGAAGTGGCATGTGGTGGGATTTAGGGGATGCCTGCATGCCCCATCCTCTGTTTGGGACAAGTATGGTCCTGGTTAAAGTAGCTGCCTTGGGGGTTTGCATCCTCAGGCCCGGCCTCACCGTTTCTCACTTTCTTTTCCAGTTGTAATAATATCAGTTGTAATAATATCAGATGATCTGGGAAAAACTGTTTTGCTCTGAAGATCAAAGCCTAGCCCTACCCAACCGTCCAGCAGTCCACTGCCATGAGAGTCTCCCACGCCACGTGTAGGTGCACCCCAGGTTGCCGGGGTCTTCTGCTTGTGGGATGGGAATGAAGAAGGCTGGAAGATTATCCCTGCGCCCCCAGTCCTCACTCACTGCCTGCCTGGGAGCGCCCAGGCCTGGAGACTCCTTGCAAGTGCTGAAGGCAGGATCTTGCCTTGTTTCCCCAAAATATTTTGGTGTTTTGCTTCTAATCTCTGGCTGTGCCCCACAACCGCTTGTAAAGAGGATCAACCTATACATCTCCTTGGCAGCTGGATCATGTCAGTGGGGCAAGAAGCTGCGTGGCCAAGGGAGTTTCAGCTGCATGTCCATGGACCTTGTCCATCCCTGCTGCCTGGCTCATGTGGGGTGAGGTGGGGCAGGCAGATGTCACCCCCCCCCCCAGGCTGTCACTGCTGGAGGGACCCAACCAAAGGCAAACGGTGTTTGCAAAGTCACATGGGTGCCAGTGCAGCTTGGAGATGCTTTATGGAAGGAGGGTGGACCTGATGGCCCTGGTGCTTCCCTCCAGCACAGAGCTAAGCCAGAGCCAGAGCCTTGGCCTTTTCCACCTTGCCCTTACTGTCCCCTGCCCTCTACAAGCAGTGACCCCTTTCACTTAGTGATACAGGAGGGGTGGGCTAGCCACAACCCTATTTTTGGTGTTACATGGAGCTGAGCACCCTGTGCTGGGCCCCTTCTGCAAACTCCATTTCCCTCTCACCCTTCTTCCTGAGCCCTTTGCCCATGGCTGCGCAGTCCCCTGGTCCTGCACTCCCTGGGCTGCTGAGCTCACCCAGCAGGGAAGAGGAGTGCTCTCTTGAGGCCAGCTTTCAGGTGCCACGGGCAGCCCATAAAATGATGCTCAAATCCTTGTGCCAGAGCCATTCAAGGGGCTAGGGCTGTGCCTTGAGCAACTATTGCGGTGTCCAAATTTGGTGTGGGGCTCTACTGCTGCCCCTGGATCTGATCTTGCTTGCTGAGCTTTGGAAAGGACTTTGTTTTCTCTGTGCCATTTTTTTTCTAATAAAAGTTGCTCTTTCTAAGACACTCCCAGTCACCTGCTCCTGGGCTGGGACTGGGAACAGTTTGCTTCCCTTCTTCTGGCAGGAGGAAAAAAGGCAAAAACCCGAGACAAATATGTCGGGGGGGGGGGGGGGGAAAAGCAGCCTGAGACTCTTCCCTTCTCATTACAGCATCTTGGACCTGGTGCAGCGGCTGAGCAAGCCCGGGTCAGGGGCTGTGATGGAGGGTCCAGTCCTCCATTCACGGCAGCGCTGCCTTATCAACGTCCCTGGCCCTAGAAAGTGACAGCTGGCTGGCTTGTGTCAGCCCCTTGGGCACTCGCGTATCTCAGTCCAGAGGGTTTAAAATAGCAAATCTCTGAGGCCACACAATAGCTTGGGCTTATATGGGCTCCTGGGGGGGAAGGGGGAGCGGCAGAGGGGGCCAGGGCTGCGGCTGCCAAAATAGCAGCTCACAAGTGTTGCATTCCTCGCTGGGCGCCGGGCGCATTCCTCCCGGCGCTGCCCGCCCCGGGGTGGGTGCTGGAGCCCCCTTAAAGCCTCCTGCCCCCAAAGAGCATTTCCCAGACGTCCACCAGCTTCCCCTCAGCTCCCTGGGATCTCACCGGCGTCCTGCGGCAGAGGTAAGGCTGGGGCGGCGGGACGCCCACTCGTGGCGTAGGATGCTGAGGGGAAGGGCAGTTGTTAAAGACCCAGAAGTGATTTGGCTCAGGGTTAATGGCCCTCCCCAGCCGCTTGCACTGGGATGTATTTTTGCCATGAAGGCATTCCCACGGATAAAGCATCAGGACCCTCTCCAGGGGGTTGTATTTGCAACTTGCCCAATGCCTTTTGAACTACCCTGATGTGTGCCAAGGTGGCTGAGAAGGATTTTCGCTGCCCTGGTTCCGGGCGAATCTCATAGATCCTATTCCCTGTGTCTCTGGAGGGGACAGGAGGGATGCAATGCCTGTGGGAGAGTCAGGCCAGCCTGGCCCTGGCTCACCGGCAGCCCACAGGGTGGGTTAGAGGTGGGATGCTCCTGTGCCTGGTCTGGCCCTGCCAAGCAGGAAGGGAGCAGTGACATGACTCTGGGAAATGAGAGCTCCATGTCTGGGTAGCCTGGAGGAAAGCAGAGACTGTGAACTGTGGAGGATTAACTCAGCCCCAGAATTGTGACCCGCCAGGGGGATTTTAAGGAGTGGGAGGGATATCTGGAGCGTTTTATCCACAGCAAATTATGGTAGATTTTTTCAGTCAATAATATGTGCAATGTTTCCTCTTTAACTCTGTAATATGTCTGCTGGGTTCTCCTAATTCTTTCAAAACAAGATTTCAAAGCTTTAATGGAAAGGTTTATCTGTTTCTGTGCAGAGGATGGATAAGTATTTCCTAGAGCCTCTTTCTGATGTAATGTTAGTTTTTCTAGTGTACCCCCTTAACAGTGCTGGGTTTGTTGCTGTTCCTCAGCAAATGCTCTGTGGGATCTAGTGATGTATGAGAGAGGAGGTGAAAGGAAATGTAGAAATAAGCTTCCACAAATGCATGTTTGCACTGTTGTGGCCAGGAGAGAGTCTCTGCTCTTGTGTTGTGAAAGGACCACATGAAGTCTTGGGTGCTCAGAGGCCACATAAACGATTTAGCCAAACTCTGGGGGTAGAAGGACCGTGCCAAGCTGGGGGGAAAAGTGGGGCCAGGAATTGATGTTCGATGGGGAATGGAGATTGAGGGGATGGTACTGGAGGGTTGTGCTTAGGGCCAAGCCCCAGATGCATCAGAGGCAAGGGAACGATGATGGCAGAAGCAGGTGGTGAACCCAAGGCAGACAGGGCTGAGTTCTGACTTCATTTGTCTCCAAAAAGCACCTTCTGAGTCATTGCTCAGAAGTGAGATTTGACAACCCCCCCCGGGAGCCACACGTATGCAGAGGCACCCCTCCTGTAATGTGTCTTTCCCGTGCTTGCGGATTCCAGTCCTGGATTCAGCATCTTGAATAAGCGATCCTGAAGCCTGTCCTACCCATCCAGGGTAATAAATACTCAACAGATGTAGCCAGGACCAGTTGTTCCCAGACACCCAGCAGGAGAAGTGAAGTGGCGCTGCTCTGGGAACAGGTGGTTTAGCACATGGAAGTTATTTCTAGAGCTGCCTTGCGTTGTCCTGCTGCATCTCAGCTTTGCTGAGGTCTGGCACGAATGCGAGCAGTGGACAGGCTGTGCAGGGACTTGGGCTGATGCTCAGGGCTGCTGTGGGATGCCCAGGGCTGGGGCTGATCATGGGGCTTGTCTGTGCAGACCTTGCGGTGGAGCACTGGGTGGAAGCTAAATGAGGTGGGATGATGAGTAAAGTCCTGGCCATGGCTGGGAGGGAGACGGGTGAGCTGGGAAGATGAGCATGGCTGTTTCTGCAGAGTTATTAGCCCTATCGCTAAACCAGGCTGTGGATTATTCTTTTTAGCTAACCTCAGCCTCAGGGCCAGGACACGCTCCTGCTGAGCCCAGATCGCCACTTTCCAGAGCATACTCTGCACTTAGAAGGCTGGGCTGGAAGGTCTTACCGAGATCTAGTTCTGTGGCTTGTGCAGGACTGTAAACCTGAGATAACAGGATGTCCCTGCAAGTTCCTATAACCCAACTGAGCTAAGAATAGTCAGGAAGCAAAACAAGCTGAACATTATAATTGGGTTATTTTCCCGTGCCCTGAGCAAACAGAACACCCTGAGATGGCTGCGGCGAGGGGAGCTGTGTGTCCTGGACATGGCTCCTGACAGCAGTTATCAGTGTTGCATGAGGCTGTGTCTAATCTCCTGCCTCCTATTTGGGGCAAGCTGTGATCCCGGGACGGGAGGGGAAGAGGGAGCCTTATCTCTGTTGAGATAATGCTGTCACAGCCTGACTGGGGACAGCTTGAAGCTCCAAGCACTTTGGAGAGACACAGCATCTCTGTGCCCACGTCTCAGGTGCTGGAGGACAAGCTGTGCTTGTCCTTATCTCAGCTACTAACCCTCACTTTTTCCAATCTGCCTTGAATTCTGCTAGATAACCAGGCATGTCGGACTCCGAAGAGGTTGTCGAAGAATATGAGCAGTAAGTGGTGTGTTTTTAAACACCCTTTCTTTCTCCTTATTTCTGCCTTCCCGCAGGGTTGCAGCGTTGCTTAGGGGTGCTGTTTGGAGGGCACTGGCTCTCGTCATTACCCCAGCACCTGGCGTGAAAGGGCCTTGGGATTCCCCCACCGTGTGCCCATCTGCACCACTGCTGTGATAGTGCTGAGACCCCCAGCAGTGGGGAGTTTTGGGAGTGGTATCAGCACATACATGGCAAGGGACAGTCCCTGCATTAGAATTGCTGCAGTCCAAATCAGTGAGACAGATAAATCTGGGAAAAGCTGAAGTCATCAGTCTGCTGCTGCTGGGGTCTTACCACCACATCCAGAGCATCACTCCTCAAGGCCCAAATTTGAGGGCAACTTTTGCTGGTGAGGGCTGCTGGACCATGAGTTGCACCCCAGAGAGAAGGAACTCAATATCCAAGCTATGTTGTCATAGGCACCAGTCCAAACACAGCTCCTACTTATCCACCAGCAGAAGATGTAGACCTGAATCCTTCTCTTATATTTAAATGCTATGACAGGCTCGCATGTCTCGGCAATCAGTCTAAACCCCTGTGCCCAGTGTCCCCTGGACACACCTGAGGACAGACTGTGAATCTCGCCCAAGGTCAGGAATGGGGCAAAGGTGGGATGTGAGGGGCCCGTTTCGAAGATTACAGGCCATGGTCACTCAATATTCTCAAGCTGCAGAACAGTGTTGTGCTCTGACCACTGTTGAACTGTCAGCTAAGCACTTCAGATCCTGCTGCCTGCAGGGTGATCTGGGTCTTGTCCCATCCCCACTGCTGCCTTACAGCATGCCATACAGCAGCCTGTCCAGCAGTCATTGCCCATTCCTACGAAAAAGGCAAGCCAGCCTTGAGGAAATTTGAAATTCCTCTTTGGCCCCACTGATGGACATACATGCCCCATTGCAGCATATCACTGTAACTGCAAATTTGTGTTGTGCTTTGCAGGGAGCAGGAAGGTAAGAGGACGTGGATCATCTGCGGCTGCCCTGAGGCTGAAGCTAAGAAATGATCAGAGCAGCTTCAATAACCTGCGTCTTTTTCCCTTCCCTCTCTCCTGTCTGCATGTGTGCTCTGTGAAGAGGAGTATGTGGAAGAAGGTAGGTGTTTCACTGGCAGTTGCAAGGACCAAGAAACAAATGCTGTTGGTTCAGTGTTTTGTTTGGGTGGGTTGTGGTGGTAAGCTCCTTGACTGCAATGGGGAAATCATGACCAGGAAAGGCAGATGAGACCATGTTCTAGATTACTCCATCTGAAATATCAGTATGATCAAATCCAGCCTGAATTTTCTTGGGATCTGTTTTGTCAGAGTGATCCCTTGACTCAAAACTGGGGTGGAAATACTGGACTTGGACATTGGCAGAGATGTGAGCCCAATAACTCAACAAGACCTGGAGCCTCAGCTGAATGTATATTAATGTTGCTTAAGCACAAACCTCCAACTGCCTCAGTCCGATGAAGAAGCAAACCCCATGGTGCATGCAGCCGCTCTGTGACACAGCTGGGCTGTGTATTTGGGGCTGGGTTTGGCAGCTGGGTTTTGCTGAGCCTCTTGCTGCTTCAGGACACTGCCAGGCAGCCTGGGCTGCTGCACAGCAAAACATCCTGAACGATAAAAGCGAAGAGAGGCGCAAGGGGGAAAGCACTGCTGTGCTAGAGTCATCTCGTGCACACCATAGCTACACCCCACAGCTTTATGGCGTCCAGCTAACCTCTGCACTTATTCCTTTCCCTCCTCCCTGGCTCAGAAGAGGAAGAATGGATAGAGGAAGAAGACGGTAGTTATTGCACCTTTCTTTATTTCGTCTCTCCACTGCTGCTGTGAATATGTCGTGGGTTGGTGTGTCTTTTGCCTCTCCCTGGCTGGGAAATGGTTTTCTTTCATTCTTCTACTTCTGTCTCTTGCTTCTTGCACTCCCCCTTTCCTGCCCTGCTGTGCTGTGCATATCTGCTCCTGTGTCTGTGGCTTCTCTCTTACATCTATCAACCAAATGCACTTGTGGTTTGCTATCTTCTTTTTCTTTCCTTCTCTCTTGCTGTGGGACCACAAGTCTTCCCAGGACCTGTGGGCCCCAGCATCGTTCTGACTCCAGTGGAGGACTCTTGTGGGGTTACTGCTCCCTCCAGTGGAAAAATGCTCCAACAGTGTCATAAATAAGATTGTGAAGGTGCTAAAGGCACGTTCTCTAATGCCAGCCAATCTTGTTCTTTGCTGGCTAGAGGAGAGCAATAGAAATCACCCACCCCCATCCTGAGGTATAAGAGCATGACAGCATGAGAGGGAATGAGGGAAAAAACAGGAGGTGGCTATAAATCCTTTAATTTTACTTTTTTTGCCCTGCCCAAGCATAGAGATCAGCCCTTGAGTAAAGGTTAGAGTGAAACCCTTTGCTTTCTGAGCTGCTGCTTCTTTTCCCTGCAGCTATGTCTCCCCCGAGTCTCTCTCTCAGCCAGCTCCGTGCTGCAGTTGTCCTGACACCGGGATCTGTAGGGAGCCAGCGGGAGCGGCTGCTGTCGGACTCATGCTGCCCGTTATTCCACAGGTCAGGAAGAACAGGTAGAGGAAGCAGAGGAGGAGACCGAAGAAACCAAGGCAGAAGGTGCGTGGTGGCTTTGCCAGCGAGCTCCTGTGGCTTGGCTGGAGCTGTGCTCTGCTTCAGTGGGGTGGCAAGCAGGGTGGCCTGGGATGACCCAGCATGGCCTGTGACAACAGGCCAGTAGCACAGAGGGGCAGCTGTCCCCTGTATCTGTGGTTTCCAGTAAGGAGGTGTCAAAACTGAGACCTTCTTTCCTGATCTACTGAGTGCCTTGGAGCTGCAAGCATGAGGATAATGGTGTCTTCTGCTTGTTGCTGATCAAAGAGTTTGTGTCCAGCACTCCAAAATAATGCCAAAACCAAGTTAAGCCTGTTCCACCAAGAGGTCCCTGTAGCCTTAGAGGGGGGATTTCCAGAGCTGGGGTCATGCTCTGATGTGTCTTACCATCCAAAGAACACTGGACTTCATGAGACCTCTTTGGAGCAGCTGGCATTGCCTGATATGTGTCCCCATGCTGTCATGGCTGGTGAGGCATGCTCAGATACCAGCTGTGCTCCCCAAGTTAGGATGCTGGGACCCCTCTGTGTTGGAGGGATGTGGTTGCCCTCACCCACAAATACTCATATTCTTCCCATTGCTTTTGAAACAGAACAAGAAGATGAAACGCAAGCACCAGGAGAAGGTAAAGCAGGAGTGGAGGAGAGACAGTTTCGGCCATTTCAGTCCTGTTCCCTGTCCCCCAAGACACCGGGCCCTTGTTATGGTGGTTTTGGTGTTGTATTCATTTGCTGCTGAAGAGAAAGAATCTGTGGTAAATGGTGCAGAGCTGCCCTGGTCCCATCCTCCACCAGGGCTGCGTTAGCAGGAGGCCTACAGGAGGGATGACTTTGTGCTGCCTAGCTAAGAAATTCACCCAAAGTACAGAAGGAGAGGGTAGTACTACTGCTTTACCAGCCTGAGCTCTTGCAAAGCTTGTCTGGGTTTCTCCTGGAGAGGACCTGGGCATCTCCTGGTCTGTCTGTGAGTGAGGGATGTCTGTGAGGTGGCTGCTCTCTCCCCATTCATCCTGGAGGGATGGAGCTGGGTTTTGCAGGGGGGATAAGCATGGGGCAGAGGGAAACAGCTTGGCTGAACCATCCCATGGTGTCCATGCGCAGGGTGCACAGCAGGTCTGGCCTCTGGGAGCCAAAGCATCATGTTTTCCACAGGTGGAGAGGGGGACCGAGAGCAGGAGCCTGGGGAAGGTGAAGTATCCATCCTTGTTCCTTTCTGGGGTGGGAGGGACTGCCCCTTCATCTGTGTAAGGATGTACCAAATGCCTTTCTGCTCAGCCAGGAGCATCAACATGTGTCTTGGGTTTTGGCACACAGATGGACACCTCACTGCATGCCTCTTTGCTGGAAGATGATCCACAGTGCAGTCTGTGCTTCTGGGAGAGAGGGGTAGCTCAGTTCAGTATTGTGGGGTTTGTGTCAAGGTGTGGAAGCAAATGCCTCTGTGACACTAACGTTTTTCTCTCCTGCTCCTGGGGACCCGCAGGTGAATCGAAGCCAAAGCCCAAGTAAGTGTCGGTGCATTTTCTTTGGTGCAAGGTCTGAACTAGGAGCTGTGCCAGGGCAGAAGGTCCATGTGATGGGCTTAACACCACGATCCATAAAGGGCATGGGACAGTGAAGCCTCAAGCATGAAAGCTGGGTGGGGACTGGGACATGGAAAGAAAAAGGGAGAGAAACAGGCAGATAAACATAGAATACGAAGAAGATCCTGAGAATGAGGTCTTGAAGCATTTTGTGTGCTCCCTGTGGCCCTGCAGCTGGAAAAAATCTGTGTGCACCCCAGCCTGGGGTACATGGTCCATGGCACAGCCAGGGTCTTGCTTCTCCAATATGCTCCTGGCCATGGTTGGCATGAAGCAGGCATTTGCATGAGTGCCAGCATCCCTGGGACAGGAGCACCTGCCTGAAGAAGCGGGGCCGTGAACCATTGCCAGGAACCTGTGGGTCCTCATGGACCCCAGGATGCTGCAGTCTGGGAGGCAGATCTGTCCTCAGCCACGATCTCTTCATTCCTTTGTGTCTTTATGTGCCCCTACTGAGCATCTCCTGCCCTCCCTCAAGCCCACAGAGGATGAGAGGATGGTTCCAGCTCCCTGTGTCAGGTCACACTGGAGCAGGCAGTTCTTCTGTGCTCTTTTGGGTGAGCAGTGGGGTGGCTGCCAACCACAGGGTGCCTGGCAAAGGGTCATGGCCAAGTTGCCTGCAGCTTGCAGAGGTATTCCAGACATGTGGGTGCCTTGGAGCGCTTCCCGGGAATGCCAGAGTTCTTCCTCTGAGGCTGTCCAGCTGGCAACCTCCAGCAAGCAGCATTACACTTCCCTGTCCTCAAAATGTGCTCACTCTGTATCCCTGGGGACTGTGAGGCTCAGAGAGAAGGGCTGGGTAGATCAGTGTATGGATGAAAGGCACTGTCCTGTCCCAGGTATCTGCTGCAGGCTCACCATCCTCCTGCTCACCTTCAATTGCAGGGTCTTCATGCCAAACCTGGTGCCTCCCAAAATCCCAGATGGCGAGCGACTGGATTTTGACGTAAGTAGTGCAGTCAACATCAAGCCCTGGGAGCTGACCCCCCCACGTTGCTCCTCCACTGTGCCCAGCAGCTCTGCAGCTCCTGGAGGGCTTCACTCATGTGAGTTTCTATCCGGTGCTTCTATCCGGTGCAGGACATCCACCGCAAGCGCATGGAGAAGGACCTGAATGAACTGCAGGCCCTCATTGAAGCCCACTTTGAAAGCAGGAAAAAGGAGGAAGAGGAGCTCATGTCCCTCAAGGACAGGATTGTATGCCTACAGCCTTTCCCCTCTATTGCTGTTGCCACCCTCTCCCCTGTGGGCACACAGGCGCGATCATTTCCCCACAGTCCTGACAGCAAGACCTGAGATATCCCATGTCCCTGCAAGACAGAGCCTGAGATTTGAGCCAGATTTTGTACTCCAGTGCCCGGGAAGCCCCTGGTCTGGCTGCTGCGATGCTGCAGTGCCTAACGGAGATGCACCTTCCCCCATGGTCACTAGTCCACATGCTCCCTTGGGAGGCGTGGGAGCAGCAGATCTGCCCTTGGGGGTCTCAGGGCTTTTGGGGTCAGGGATGTGTCCCTAGGGACAAAGAAGATGCAGTTTCCCTGGGGTGTCCAAGCCAACGTCCTCTCCTTCTGCAGGAACAGCGGCGAGCAGAGAGGGCAGAGCAGCAGCGGATTCGCAGTGAGAGGGAGAAGGAGCGCCAAGCCCGCATGGCCGTGAGTCTCCCTCCAGGGATGGGGGGGCTTGGACTGGTCTTGGGTAGCACAAGCCTGGCCATGGAGCACATGGGAGCATGAACTGTGTGTTGCATGCAAGTTGGTCCATGAGGTCTCTGTCCGTCTGCTTCTGACCCTGGCAGGAAGAAAGAGCTCGCAAAGAGGAAGAGGAGGCACGGAAGAAGGCTGAAGAGGAAGCGCGGAAGAAGAAAGCTTTCTCCAACATGCTGCATTTTGGAGGCTACATGCAGAAGGTGTGATCCTGCCCTGGGTGGTTGCGGTGAAGCCACTGGTGCTCCTAGGAAGGGCTCAGCCATGGGTTAGCCTCACAGCACTGTGCATGTTCTCAGTGTTGGTAGACTGTGGTTTCTACAAGCAGAAGAAGATAGGCCACTGTTGTTGGGTCACAGCAGCGGTCAGAGGGCCAAAGTTGAGTTGAGAGCTCTGCTTTGCAGATGCTGGCCAGGGTGGGTCCAGCCACACCTCAGGGACAGGGATGGGGGGGGTCTTGTCCACTATTGCCAAAATTTCCTTGAGTACTTCATGTGCTTCTGGAGTCCCAAAAGCTGAGAGTGTTGTGGGCAGAACTGGGGATAAGGGTAGAGCAAAGGCTGGGCAGATTTCCTTCCCTCCAATGGACTGATGGTTTCCTCAGTCAGAGAAAAAGGGTGGGAAGAAGCAAACAGAGCGGGAAAAGAAAAAGAAGATCCTCAGTGAACGGCGGAAGCCCCTGAACATCGACCACCTCAACGAAGACAAGCTGAGGTGAGCATGGGCTGCAGGAGGGATGTCCAGGACAGGGGCTCTGCTTTGGGTCCCACCTCCTGGGGCAGGATCCTGGGCTGGTGCAGGCTGCCTGGGGCTTGCAGCCCAGACAAGAGGGTGATGGCATAGCTGGGAGACGGGGGCTCTGTTGCTCTGCAGGGCCACCACTGCTAGGCTGCTGCTGACAGGCTGGCCATCAGAGGGAGCCACGCTCACATGCGTGGGACATGCATGTCCCCATATGTCCCGACCTCACCCATGACTGGTCCACTCGTGGACTGGCATCACTGCCAGGCAAACACATCCCCCTCTGGGCATGGAGCATGCAGAGACCCGTCCTGGGGGAGCAGGCGAGATGGTGCCATCACTGCCCTGTCCCCTGCAGTGAGCTCCCTGAGGTACTCATCCCTTTTCTGCACTGACACCAGCCGGCTCTTCCCACAGGGACAAGGCCAAGGAGCTATGGCAAACCATTCGTGATCTGGAGGCTGAGAAATTTGATCTGCAGGAAAAGTTCAAGCGGCAAAAATATGAGGTGAGCCGCAAGGTCTTCCATGAGCTTGCTCAGCCTCTGTGTGCCTGGCTGCTCCTTCTGCTCCCAATGTGGGAGATGAGGTGGGTTGTCTGACTGATGGTGGTGTAACAGGAAAGCTGGCTGCACCAGAAAAGGACTGTGCTCCACCTTCTGCATGGGGTGACAAACACCCAAGAGGCTCTGCAACACTGAAAGCAAAGCCACATCTGCCTCCCTTTTGGAGATGAGCCAGGATCAAACCAACCCTCCCAGTGGTTGCCAGCCACCCTGGCAAGGCTGAGCACACAGCTATGAAATGCTGGACGATGTGACAGCTGGTGAAAGGGGCTGTGTGGTGGTCCTGTGGCCTCCCAGCTCCTGGAGATGTGTGCTTTGCACTGTGACAGGCTTCCCACTGTGCTGCACATCATGGCCCTGTGCTAAACCCCATGCAAGAACCACTGGGGAAGAGAGAGCAGTGATGCATCTTTGCCCAGACCCTTGTCTCTGGCTGGGCGTGGGGCATCTTGCCAGGCCTCACCAGCTGCCTGTGTTTCTCTTGCAGATCAATGTCCTCCGAAACCGCGTTAGTGACCACCAGAAAGTGTAAGTCCTCGGGCAGGCTGAGCATCCTTTCTTGATGCTTCCTGCCCTTCCAGCTCCCTGCTCCTCTGGCCCCAATTCCCTCCCTATGTATCTCCTGGCTTTCTTGCACCCTCGCAGAGCCACCTCCTGTCCTTCCCACTCCTGCCTCTGGTCCCACTGGTACCCGATGTTCATGGACCTGCAGGTCTGGCCCAGGGACCTTGGTCCATGCTGCTCTGCTCCTGTTGAGAGACCCCCATTGCCTCCCACCTCCACCAGCTTCCCCCTGGCCCAAAGATCCCAGCTGGGGATGGACCCCGGCTAGACCCCACCTCTGCACATAGAGCCTTGGGTCTTGTGGGGTCCTGCCAGCCTCCAGCTGCCCCCATCCCTGCAGTGGCTGTACCCAGTATCTCAGGGAAGGTGCTGGAGATCCCAGCTCATGTAGGAGGGGAAATCCCACAGGCTGTGGGAGCTCTGCAGCCCCGCAAGGTCAGGGGAGCCTGTTCCTGTGCCCATGTTCCACAGGACTGGGGGACCCTTTGTAGGAGGGTGGAGGTGGGTGTTTAACCCCACCCTCAGGAGCACCATGCTGCTCTTGCATCCCCATCCCGCCCTGCCATCTCACACGAGAGGTGCTCAGCCTCCCCCATGTGTCAGGTAGCAGCATCTCCCGCCCACTTACACCAAATCTCTCTTCATTTCTGCCCCAACACGGCCTGTTACTGCAGCAAAGGGTGAGTACAGGTGTTCCCTGCTTGCTGTGTGTCTCCCACTGCATGGATACTGCATGGACGCTGGGGCTGACATCAGGCTAGCAGTAGGGTTGAGGGAGGAGGCAATGCCAAGGATTGGCAGCCAAAGTTGTGCTGGTGACTCTCATGATGACATGCCAGAAATGCCCTTCACTGTCCACCCAAGCCTCCTCCTCGTCTCTACTGACCCATGCCCAGAGCAGTGCCTGTTCCCCTGATGTTCGTTAAGGAAAGCGATGTGGTGGGTCCCGGCTAACAGCTTCACAGCTTTGGGCTCTTGGAAGAAGGATCCTGCAGCCATTGTTATCCCTTTGCAACCAGAGATCCAACTATTCTTCTCTGAAGGATCCTTGGGAGGGAGAAGCATGAGAAGGGAATTGGGCGTCCTTGGAAACACCTGGCAAAATGCATGAACTTGTTCCCATAGAGTCCCAAAACACATAGACTGACTCAGGACCCAAGGTTTTACCTGGGGCCACTGAAGACCACCTTACCCACAGGGCAGTGAGCATCAACCGGAGATGGCTTGGTCCTCTTTGCAGGACTGCTGATAGCACCCACCTTGTCCCTCTTACATGGTCACTAATGCCTTTTTGCATGTGCTTTTCTGCTTCCCTTCCAGGTCAAAGGCTGCCCGTGGGAAGACCATGGTGGGCGGCCGGTGGAAATAGATGACTCAGAAGGCAAAGGAGGCTCAGCCGTGGAGAGGTATATTGCCTTTTGGTTGACCAGCTGGCTTGCCCACATCGTGGAGCCTGCACCATGCGCCCACTCTCCCTCCCACTGCACAGAGCTTGCAAAGACATTGCTGCAGGCACAGTTCTGTCTGGGTGGGCAGATGCTTCGCGTGGTGCCGTTTCTCATCTCCATGCCCCCAGTTAATGTTGTGTCTGTAAATAAAGAGAACGGTGAGGGGGTGCAGGTGTTGTCTCCATCCTGAAGCTCTGAGCCCAGAGGAAACAGGCACAGGAGAGTCTCAGCAGAGCTCGACTGAGCAAATGCAGTTGCACACCTGCTTCTTGGGGCGTATGAGGATGCAGCAACCATCCAGGACCTCCCGAATAACATGTCCCCTTGCCTCACAGCATCTCACACCTGCAGTCCTTGGGAGGTTTTGTAACAGACCTCAGTGGTCTAACCTGCTTTTCCTGCTGAAGTTTGGGGCAATCCTAGTAGTGGCCACTTTAGTTCTTGCTTTTGCTGTACTAGAGCCCTCCCTTCACTCCTCTCTGTGTCAGGGTTGGCCTTGTGGGAGAGTATGGATAGGGCCACTGCTTCCAAGCCTCTTATTCCATGAATTAGTCACAAACACTTCTTCCAGGCCATTTTTATTCCTATTTGCACCTCTTCCTAAAGGGCCAAGACCAAATGTGTTTGCCTCCTCTGCGTGTTTCTGACAGCATGCAACGAAGACTTGAGATGAGTCAGTGTGGAGAGACCATTTATCTGTCCTTTCAGGGGTACAGATCTCTTTCACCTAGCTGTAGGCATCGCTGTAGCATGCTCCCACATGCAATGCCCATGGGGGCACATCAGTTGCATAATCCCGAGTGTTGCTGGTGCATGGATCTGAACTGTCAGCCAGCAGAAGACACTAGGCTTGCATGACCATTTCCTGGGGCAAGCTGTCCCATGCTGCTGTTGAACAGCATCCATAAGGCATTTCCCAGAGCAGTAGGGAAAGGATGGGTGCACAGGATGGTGGATCTTCAAAGGCTTCTTGTCCCTTGGCAAGACATTTTGTGTCCCCTCTTGCTGGGGTGGTCTGTCCTCTCCATCACAGACCCAGTGATGTGGGGGCATCCTGCAGGTTTCTCCCTTGTGCTGCCTGTTGGATGACCACTTATTTTGCTCACATCAACACATAGCATCAGGTTTTGGGGAGCAAGGCTCTGGGAAGCCTCAGCTTCAGTGAGGCAGCAAGTGGAGGGCAACCCCTATCACCTGCCTCCTCAAAAACAAGGTGTGGAAGGATGAACGTGATCCCTTATTGGGGTAAAAGGGGAGAGCTGGGGAGGGTGGCAGTGCTGGGACTTGAAATACCTGGAGGGTAGCTGAGTGAAGGTCTGGCAAGTGACATTTCCACCCTGCCTGATGCATGGCCCCGGGAGAGAGGAGCGCTTGGGGCAGAAAGGTACGTCTGGCTTCGAAAAAAATATCCCCTTTTCCCAGGCTCTGAAGGTCCACCCTCAAAACCTTTCTGGCAGGCAAAGGCAGGGCCCTGCCAGTGCCAGTGCCTGGTGCCACAGAGAGGCACTGCAGCCGCTCTGCCCGTCCCTGCGGGGCTGGCAGCGCCCAGGGTGGGGGTACAGAGGCACTCCCTGCTTCCCACAGCACTGCCTGTCTCGGCAGTGCGCTGGCCCCCTGCCAGCCTGGTTCCCTGCGCGCCAGGGCCGAAACCTGCGCGCACCCTCCCCGCCCAGCACCTGCCTCCCTGCTCCCGGTGCTCGGTGGCACAGCTGTGCCAGAACAGCTGAGTCAGCACCCAGCCCTGCCACCGACCCTCCCCTGTTCCCACTCTCACTGGTGTCTGTGGCTTTCCACTGTGAGCGGGTTGCTGCCATGCTCAGGCATGGCAGAGTGTGGTGCAGGACGCAGAAATCCTCTGGGACATGGCAGAGCACTCTGGGATCTTCTCCAGGGTCTGACAGGGTGCTGGCATCATCCCAAGTGTTGCATGGGCTGCGTGATGATTGCAATGGCGCAGTATGTTGTGCCAAGGTTTGCTGGAGGGCAGTGCAGGGTGCTGTATGCTGGTAAGCAGCTCTGATGTGCAGGCATGCTATCCCCATTCTGCCATGTATAGCACATGTTCTGCAAGTGGATGAGTCTCAGGTTAGTGGAGTGGGTCAGGGACAGGCCATGCTGCTGTGCACTGCAGAGTGAGGGACCGCTGGCAGCAGCTTTTGGAGGGTTGTGCAGGGTGCTAACAACTTCGCAGTGCTGTGTCATTGTGGAGATTTGCAGTGTACTAGTGTCCTAAAGCACTGCTGTGCAGTCTCAATGTCCCCATGGGCAGCAGAACCTCTGGATGCCAGATCAAAGCACCAGTGTCCTCTGGAGCTTGGTATGAGGGGTAGAAGCTCTGCCCTTCCCTAGCAGGGCATCTTCCCAGGAGCTATGAAGTGTAGCTTCCTCTAGCATGTTGCAGAGGAACAGCACCTTCTGCCATAGCATGCAAACTTCCTCCATGCCGTGGTGCTTTGAGGAGCATTCTCTTGTGTAGCACCACTCTGGAGCACAGCACACGAAAACAGTGTCTGCTCCAGCACAGTTCGGTGTCTCAGCCAAAGCACCAGACAGGGATCAGCTTGTGTGCCACACAGTCTGTGCAGTGCAGGATGACAGGGTCCTTTTGGCTCCTCTATGGAGATGCTGGCAGGTGCTGCAGTGAAACGTGCACGCTGATGGGTGCAATGCAGGGCTCGTTCTACAGCACAGTATGGCACAGGAGGCCTCTGCCCTCCCCAGAGTGATGGCAATGTGCTGGACAGAGTTCAAAGCTCCAGAGGCTGCTGCCAGCCCAGGGTACAAAGCTGCCTCCTCTGGTGTTCACCACGGGTGTCCCAGCACTACTGCATGAGACCAGACTGCAGCACACCTGTGCCCAGGTCTCACAAGCATGTGCACCTTGTGGTCTGGTGATGCAGCCCCATGCCAGCGTCCTCCCCAGGGTACCACCATCCCCATGCAGTGGAATGGATGCAAAAGAGGATGCGTTTGTTACCGAGAAGGTGCTGGTAAAATAGTGAGCTCATGTTTTGGACTGTGGTTGTGCTAAACCAGAGCTATGTGTAAGGCAGCCTCATGCTCTCTTCTGCCTACTCAAGACCCAAGACCACTCCCAGAGGCAAAGCCACAGTGAAATGCAGATGTTGTAGAGCCTGGTCTTGCCACTCCAGCTGCAAACAGCCTGCTCATGTCTTTGATCAGGTCACGTTAGCCAAACATGCTCTGGACAGCACATGAGATTCTGGGATTGCTGTCCTGGGGCCACCTGGCCAATGCATGTCCCAAGGACCCAGGGTCATGCATGTGCCCATGCTACCAGCATTATGGTCCATGATGTAGCTGCAGTGGTCCACAAGGACCTGTGGGACAACAGAGCGGCAGCTCTTGAAGCTGAAATGCTGCCAGGGCCCAGTGTACCTCACCAGAGGGGAATGTGGAGCCTCTTGATGGCCCCATCAGCTGGGGGACATGATGAAGGATCCCCTCACCCCCACCTTGGAGATGTTGGAGCATTGATTCCCCCATCAGGCACAACACT